TGCAGGTATGAGCTGTTTTACTAACTCCATTACATTAGTCTGTGAGCTGATGTTGTTTTGTGGGCAGTGGTAAAGAGCTATCAGTAAGATTTAGGTGAATTTAATTTAACTTGAACGTTTTTTCACACTTTTAGCTGGCATAGAGGTGTCTCAGGTACTTCCCATCAAAGTTTCAGGGAAGGAAGGAGGCAGTTTAAGAGCCATGAGATCCAACAGTCCCCACCGGCTCCATCCAGGTAAAACTTCTTGATTCTGTGTCTCACCTTAAGTTTAGCTTCTTTCTCTCATGGGATTGGTCTGTTTCTGATTAAAAAGTTCCTTTTTCTTTGTTTAAAGGGATAGTACGCCTAGAAATTAAATTCAGTCATTTGCTCACCCTCATTTTAATTCAAACCTGTATGATTTTTTGGGATGGTAAATTATTTTTGGTGTGGTGAATTATCATTTATTCTGCCTTTTATTTTCTTTGTACACTCTGTATCTTCATATTACTTCAAAGCAGCGCTGTTTTAGTCATTTCACCATTAATACGTGTTTCTGTATTAGTAAATCTATTTCTGTGGTGTTTCTGTAGATATGTTTATCCATCCAGAGAAGTTATCCAGCTCCATACCCTCTCATTCAGGAAACGACATCAGGAAACACAACCACAATCATAACGCACTCAGTACCCAGCCAGGACACTGTAAAACCAAAGACAACGCAACTGCAGAAGACATATTTTACTTTTAATAACCCTGTGCAATATGCAAGAGTACAACATTGTTGCAGAGTGATTATCACTCTAACATGACCGGCACTGACATAAGTGCATTTTTCAAAAAAATTGAATCATGCAGATTTTAATCATAATTATGAAGTTTTTTTTGTTTTTACTATGATTTAAATTGAATTGGGAAATAAAAAAAGCATTTATTCACAGGGATAGTAAAAAAAAACGTTTCGGAGGATTCACTCCCAGAAGTACTTAGTTGAGATTTAGGCCTCTTTACTTTAAGTCTGTTTCCTAAAGGCTTTGTGATCTTAACATCCAACAGTCACAGTATATCAGTACAAAATCCAGTTCAGGTCCACATTACAGAATGGTCTTTGTCTTAACGATTTTAGTTTTTAGCTGTTTTTAGTTATTTATTGTGATTTTAATTCAGGGATGTTTGAGCCCCACAAGTGTTGCTCTGGAAAGTCTTAGTGTTCTTCCTGGACTCTTTATAGGAGTCATGTAATCAAGAGCTTCTCTCAAAAAAAGTGTTGACCTATTTAATGTATGGAATACGTTTAAAGTGTAAATTTCTTTTTGGAGTTTTTCTTCAGTTTCTGCACAGATTGTGGGATCTTTTACATTGTTTTGCTTCTGTTAACTGGAAAATCATGTTATATTTGAGCAAAAATTTTGTAGTGTTTTAGAAAAAAATAGCCTTGTTTTTCTTGAGTTGGGGATACATTCTCATCACTACTAAATGTCAAAGGTACTGCTTAACTTTTTTTAAGTTTTTGTCTAAATTCATGTGGCACAATTCTGTTGGATCATTATTTTTATTTCATACATTGTTTTAATCTGAGAAAATACAGACTGTCTTTAAGTAGAAATGTACATTGTAAATAGTGCAGAAGAAATACAGCTTTTTTGGTTCTCTCAAGGAGTACTGTTGCACTTTTAAGTGCTTGACATTTGCTCTGTTACATGAACAAACATAAAACCTGTATACTCAGTTTTACTTCACGTTGTTTGTCATTATTCACAAAAAACGGTGGCTAGTTTGCAGTGTTGGGGAGTAACTAGTTACATGTAACGGCGTTACGTAATTTAATTACAAAATAAATGTAACCGTAATCGGTTACAGTTACTAAGAAAAAATGTGTAATTAAATTAGTTACTTATGAAAATGTTAATGATTACAAAGTGGATTACATTTGAATATTTACACACATCCACATACAGATTTAATTGATTTATTTCCCAAATTGCACTGACTACTCTGAGACATACGGCCCTATAATTTCCGCAATGCGGAAAAAAACAAGACTGATTCGTAGAATCCAGTCATAAAAACAGAATTCCTATAGCCTGCAAATAAATGTTTTGGGGGGGAAAAGACAAAGACGACACATGAGAGAAATGTTTTTTTTGTGAGAAACAGTCAAGACATGACTTTCATAAAAAAAAGATGCATCACTTTGGTGTAATTGTTTCTATATTCAAGTGTGGCTCATAGTCAGTGTTGGGGAGTAACTAGTTACATGTAATGGCGTTACGTAATTTAATTACAAAATAAATGTAACCGTAATCGGTTACAGTTACTAAGAAAAAATGTGTAATTAAATTAGTTACTTATGAAAATGTTAATGATTACAAAGTGGATTACATTTGAATATTTACACACATCCACATACAGATTTAATTGATTTCTTTCCCAAATTGCACTGACTGGCCTACTCTTGAGACATACGGCCCTATAATTTCCGCAATGCGGAAAAAAACAAGACTGATTCGTAGAATCCAGTCATAAAAACAGAATTCCTATAGCCTAACGCGGACGGAATATGCCACATTTTGGACGAATAAATCAAAAGTAGGTCAGTACACTTAAATCAAAACGTGATATGGACTAGTGTCTGTGAATATTAAGCCGCAAAAAGACAATATATGAATCCTGCACGTTCTGCGTGTCTGTGGAAATCAGGCGCGGACTGGCCATCGGGAGAACCGGGACCATTTCGGGTGTCCTGGCAGCCGATTTGGCCCGCTAGTTTGATATTATTATTGTATAATTGCCTGTCGAATGTACTAAAGCGATTATTTCCGAATTCGCCATTCGATAATTAAATCTCGGTAACACTTTCTGTGAAGCCCATATTTATAACACATTATAAGGGTATTCTTAAGGCATTATAATGGATTCATAATGCATTATAAAAGACCTTATAATATGTTATATCATCTTATAAATAATCATAACAACAATTCTAATACATTATAATGCTTACGCGTTTGTGGTTATAAGTTTTAAGATTATGATTATTTATAACACACAATGAACACCATATAAAATCTATTTTTACATTTATAATGGACTATATATCTTGACATTGTTTATTTAAGATCTGCACAGTATCTTATGTTCAGATTTGATCATCTTAATTCAAGTGATGAAGGATTTTGAAAGTCTGACAGTGTTGAGCACTACTGTAAGGTTAACCCTGCATGGTGTAAATATTTGAAAATGATTAACAGTTGCAAATAAACATTCATTAGAAATGTAGAAAAGTAATCAAAAAGTAATCAAAAGTAATGAATGTAAATAAGTTACATTACTTTAATAAAGTAATTGAAAAAGTTACACTACTATTACATTTTAAAGAGGGTAACTTGTAATCTGTAACCTATTACATTTCCAAAGTAACCTTCCCAACACTGCTAGTTTGCCTAAAAGTGATAATTTACTCATTTACTCAATGCTACGTTGTCCATAAGACGTCCACCCCGCCATTTTTCACATTGACGTCAAATTCCACTGGTTCTCACGTGTTCCATTTGCATTAGCTCAGTGGAAGACAGGATAGTCCGGGAATAACACCAAATATACTACTGTATGAGTGACATGAATTAAATTGTGTATGTTTTTGGTCACTATATGGAAGAGTTTACAACATTACCACGTCACCACCTCGATGTACAAATCAGCAGTCCGCTATCATCAGCTACTAAGTTCAAATGTTTTTGGATCATAAAAAAATCTGGTATTTTGAAATGCAGCCATAGAAAATAAAGAAATGCCCAAATGTTCTTTAAAAAATGTAATATTTTATTGCACTGTCTGCGGCTGCACCCTTCTGTGAACGCTACATTGACGGTTGATTGCCACAGAAAGGTTATTTTCTCTGCTCATCTCTTCTGCTGTAATCTTTTCTTTGCTCTGACAAAGTAGTTTAGGTAAGTACTGATGCAGTTCCCCAATATAACGAAACTTTGTTGAGCCTAATTTAACGACCGTATGTTTAACACAAGAAACTTCTCAGCATTTCGTCCGTTCGTGTTGAACTACTTAGCTCAGAAACATTCCAATCCAAGCAGTTGTTAATAAAATATAACAGTACTCCACTGTGATGCATTAGATCACAGTGATGAGTATTAGAACCAGTTCTTTTGAAAACTTAAAGTTGGCGCTTTTTTCTGAATAATGTTGTACAAGCCTGTTGAAAAAACCTGCATATGCTGGTTAGGTATGTTTTGAAGCATGGCTGCTGGTTTAAGCTGGTCCTGAGCAGGAGCTAGTTGCTTAGGACCAGCTTAGAACCAGCACATGACCAGCTAAGGTCCAGCTTAAACTAGCTCATGACCAGCTAGGACCAGCTTAAACCAGCAGCCATGCTTTAAAACATACCTAACCAGCATATGCTGGGTTTTTTTTCAACATGGTAGAACATCAGAACAGAACACATATAATCTATTGGCATTGCAAAAGATCCATCCAGTAATCATAGATCAGAATAATCATTTTTTTCGTCTTCTGAAATTGCTGTTCATTCAGCTTCTGTTCATTAAAAAAAGAGCTCTCTTGCCCAAGGCTCAATGACCTCTTAACAACCTCTTTTACAAGTGTAATTTCTTTTGTTCATCTCTCTGCCTGCCACTTCAGACTACTTCAGTATGGTTCATTTTTCACACAATAGTTTATACAATATAAAAATGTGGGCCGTTTTAGGCTTGGTCATACAGTTCAACAATAACCTGGAGTTAGAAGTGAGTCCAGTGAACCAGATGAAAGAGAGTGAATCAAGCACTCTGGTGGTGTAACCACAATCCAGGAAGTATCATTTCCAGGTCACAACCACTATGACTCATAATTTGATAACATATAACCCACAATTATACGACTTTACCGCTTACCTTTTAATGTGGGAGGAAAATGCAAAGAACTCATGATACAATACATTTTTGCCAGTAAACATCCGAAGTATTTCTCAAGTGATCACGCACTAAAGCACAACAGTAGTCCACATAACATAATGCATTATTCCTTTAATATGTGCACTCTTCAACAACTTTTCAAAATCACACTTTTACAGCATATGTCGATCTCTAATCGAGCGCTTCAGCATACATGACTCTGAAGATCTCTGACACACGACCTCCAGACATCAGGAGTATTAATAAACAGACAAAATATCTGGATTACAACTTGTCCATGTTATTCCACATGATCATATTGGCCCAATAAAAACGAAACACGCTGTAGCCAAGTCGAACAGATATCAATGAGACAACAGTGCCACATAAACTTCTTAAATAAACCTGATGTACTGTAACTTAAAACTGTTAAATCATACAGAGAAAATAATATCAGTGCTTTACGCCGAAAAACAACTTTAAAAAGTACCATGAATACAAAAATCCTACTATGAAACAGAAGGACTGTCACTCAATAGTTGGGCAGGAAACTGTTCTTAAAAACTGCACTTCTTTTAAAAATGTTTGCATTTTTGCTTTTTATTTTGAAATCTCAAACATCCCTTCCATTAAGTAAACAGCACAGTCTAAATACAATGCTTTCAATAAGCCACGAGCATATGAATATGATCTATTTCAATGCAACTAAAGCTGAAATCGCATCCCAAACCAAAAAGGAAGTTTTTGTTAAATTATGTGTTGTATAACAGTACTGCTCTTATTTATACAGCGTACCGTGATATAAACGATTAACAATCTTATCAACCTACAGCATTTGTATCTCAAAACTCAGGATGAAACGAATAAATCATTATTCCCAAAGCCTTTGGTTCATTCGGCCCTTATTAGCACCGTATTTTAAAGGATGTTACAACAAGGACACAACCCGTCAGTAATGCATTAAGCCAAATAGAAATATTTTCAGTGAGCTGTCTAGAATTTTCTTGACATTTGTTTTCAAATGTCTAGCTGCATTTTGTTTCATTTACTGAGAGAATGTTAATTTACAAAAAACAAGGAGGGAGAACAAAAATAACAGAGTTGAGATCCTTGTGAAGAAGATAAAAGCGATCCATTCTGTGCCCTCCTAATGCCAACAAAGGTGAACTTGAAGCAAGTTGGCTGAAGCACAGCAGATGTTGTTGTGTCTCCTCCTTCTTTGATTCAAAGGACTGTACAATTTCAAAGGCTTAAAACAAGTGCACTGAGATGTTCATACTGCTCAAGTCTATTACATGTATGGTCAGACATATAACTGACTTCAAAAAATGAAAAAGAAAGTAGCATCCTTCGAGTCTTGTCTTTATGTAGTAGATGCATCTGTAAGATGCGGAACTTCCTCTTGTGCTGGTGGAGGAGGGTCCTCACACTGATTGGTCGTTTCAGAGTCTGCCGGCTCAGGATTGGACTGGGGTTCATCTGTGGGCGGTCCTGGGGTTTGAGTACAGTTGATTTGTTCCATGACAATGGGAGGCGGCTGAGGAATGAAATGAGACGCATATGATGAAAGAGAAGTAAAATTGTTTTTAAAAAATGTAATTAAATTCCAGATATTTTTATATATACACTACTATTCAAAAATGTGGGTTCAGTAAGATTTTTTGAAACACTTTTATTCATTTGAATAAAAAAACTTTTATTCTGCAAGGACACATACAAAAATAGTACATTTACAATATTACAAAGATTTCTGTTTCAAATCAATGCTTATCTACTTTCTATTCATCGAAAAATCCTGAAGAAATTGCCTCGGTTTCCACAAAAACATTCAGCAGCGATTTTTTTAACATTTTCAAGATTGATAATAATATATTTTCTGAGCACCAAATTAGCATTTGAGAATAATTTCTGAAGGATCATGTGACACTAAAGACTAGAGTCATGGCTGCTAATAATTCATCACTGGAATATATTACATTGTCAAAATATATTCAAATAGAAAACGATTCTTTTAAATTGTATTTTTAATCAAATGAATGCAGCCTTGGTGACTTCTTCCAAAATTAATAAAAATCTTACCGACCCCTTTTGAATGGTAGTGTATATATAAATATAAACAGCAATACCAATCCAATTGCAATTTAAAGCAGAAGAAAAATGTTAGAATCACTTCAGAAGTGAGAATGAGAAAATGGCTTCTGATCTATAACTTAGTGAAGAAGTGAACAATCAGAGAAGATGACACAGACCAGATTCTTCTCATACAGGAAATCACCATAGATTAACTCAAGACCAACAAATCTCCAGGCCTATTATTAGATAATAGGCTTGAACACTGTTAGCTAAAGAGCCGAGGAAATGAAACATAAGCCCTCTTCTGGCACACACTGATCTCTTACCAGACCTAAAGGAGAGATCTGGTGTTTATCAACCTATTGTGATGTGAAACGGTAGATTTAACTTGTGTATATCAGTCTGTAGAACAGCATTTGCTCTAGGGCTGCACGATAAATCGCATGCGATTTATCGTGCAGCCCTAATTTGCTCATACTGTGGTTTAGAGAAAAATATTTGGATGTAATAAGCTCAGTCAAACTGGCATTTGTCTAAAGCCTTCAAAATCCCTTTTTACTACAGGAGGTAGAATTTCTATTCAGGATCTCTGGGATCTATTGTTGTAAAAGTTTCTAAACATTTTAAACAAATGCCTGTGAAATCAAAGGATGTAGATTCTGTGTTAAGAACAGTTATACATATTGGAAACGAGAGTTTTATTCCTAAGGTTGACACCGAACCCCTCCTTTAAAGAGAAGAAAACACCCACAGTAAAAATGAGAGTAAAATAAGAGCGGAACAAAAACACGTGGGTGAATTTACTCAACTGTAAGTCTAGTAACTGTATATAACCCTAGAACTTTTCCGACTGCAGAAGGCACTCATATCAAACTGGTATTCACCACAAATCCACTTCCTGTCCAGAACAAAGGCAGCTCCTTGCGCCACAGTGCCACCGCAAGGCTGGTGAGGAGCGTGCAAGGCACCAGGTATAAGAGGGCAGGCTGACCCATCTGCATCAGCGCCAGAGCCACAAATGTGATGAGAAGACCAATGCCGTAGCCTAAAAACAGATCAGATTCACAGTCTTTAAATGAGAGGCACAATGTATGGTGCATGCTTAAAAGATAATAAAAGCTAGAAACATCAAACAACAAATCTGAATTTAAAAGGTAGTCAGTGTCTTACCAATAGTGCAGGCCAGAAAGTAAATTCGAGAAGTCTGCATGAGAATGTCAAATCTGTGACAATATGCTACCAGCAGACCTGAGGAAACAAAATGTCATTATTAAAATGAAGTACAAGATAACTAAAAGAAAATTTTATTTTGGTGCATCACTAAGTTCTTTCCGTGAATCCTGGAAATCTGTTCATCGTGCAGCTGATAGTGACAAAGTGACGTTACCTGGTACCAAGATATCCCCAAAACCCAGGAGAGAGAATGGCCGGTCACACAGGACCAGAGGAGAAAAATTCAACCTGGGCACTTTCAGCACCATGGGAAGCTAATTGAGACAAAGACGGCAAATTTGACACCAAAACAATATTACAAATAAGTATTTAAATTTATGCATATTCAAAAAACACCTTCCTACCTTCTCATGAGTAGAGGAATCAGAGGGGCCAGCTGCCACCTCTACCATGATACTTTCCCCACTCTGTACAGAATAACATACAAAAATATACACCAAATAATATAAAATTCTATTTTACATCAGTTTCAGTAAAAAAAAAACTCATACCTCAGTTAAGAGTGGTGTTATGAAAACAAAAAACACGTCATACACGAACAGCACGACCAACAGCAGAGTGCAGGCCTACAACAAGAAGAAATGGATCATCTCCACATCCTAAATATGTTATTCTGGCCACCGGCAGCATCCACCTGCATTTGAAACTCACCTTGAAAGTGGGCAGCCGGATTGTTTTCAGCATGTAGAGACAGAACACGATGCCTAGCGCATCCTGAAGTATCCATGCCCACCTAGGGAACATAGTTTTTGATTAGATATACTGTAATAATGCTAAAAGTGTCAAAACCTAAAGTGTTCTATTCTTACTGGTCTTCATTGCGGAAAACTCCCCAGGTGACACTGACTGCTATACAGAAGGCTGAAAGGATCAGCATGCGCACCTGTGGCCGCTTGTGACAGTATGGCAGGTTGTTCTCAGGTATCCTGTCAAAACACAACAAAGCATTTCCTTCTATAAAAAGCCAGAAAGAATCCTATCTAGTCTTTCTCATGCACATCTCTAACCTGCATTTCCCAAACGGTATTCTTCGGACAAAAGGCCAAAGACAGCTGTACAGACCGACGGCAGATGCCAGACAGAACGTTGCGATAGTCATATACACTGTGAAAGAAAGAGTGAGGATTAAACAAAATACAGACAGTTTACTGAAAGACGGTAATAACTGATTCGTTTATTTACCCAATTGATCATAGAAGAAATACAAGAGCACCAGCATAGAGCAACACATGACCACAAACACACAAATCATGATGGGGGTGACGTCAACCGTCTCCTCGTCTTGTTTCTCGGCACCGTCGTCCCTCTTGTGCTTCATGTAACGTCTAAAAGCACAAAGATGTGAGTTTAGCTGAATAAATTCTGCAGGCTGTCAGCTTTATCACCAATTTATCTTGTAACCTGTGCCTCAAGGGCACAATTCTTACTTTTTAATGTCCCTGCTGCCAGCCCAATATCCACCGACAGCCACTGTGCCCACCGCCATCAGGAAGATGAGCACCATGTTGTAGTCCACCACCGGTTCATTGGGCGCATACATGGCCACCTGCCTTTTCTCTCCAAACGTCTAAAGACAGAATTCTTTTTTTGTTGTTGCCTTTGTAATTACAATATAATATGTGTTAAAGTGATTCTGAACTTACCTTACTGATGTCCAACATGTCTTTATAGCTTAGCAAGGCCACTGGGATGCCTATCTCTTCATACTGGGACTTGTTGCCTGAGGGTGGAGTCTGTAAATCATTTCAAACAAGTTAACTATGTTTTGACGAATGTTCATGGCGCCATTTATGGTGTTATGATGTGTTACCAGTCTGTCTTTGCTGACGATCAGAAGTCCCTTGGCACCATTGATCTGGGCCAATCTGACTTTTTCATAGAAAGTGCAATTTCCTCTCATCACCATTGGGATGCTGTTTGGGAAGCCACCCTCAGGTACATCAGAGGGGGAGCACAGCACAGAGGTGGTGAGATCATAAGTCTGCAGCCGTGCCTGAGGAAAACAATAAAGGGTGAATGAGTGGCAGCTCTGTGATACTAAATTGTAACTGCAGTTTCAGATACAGCAGGGGTTTGTTGGAAATGCTGCAATTGATTTGAAATCCAACAGTAAGAAATCTGGGGATTTCTATTTGTGTGTGTGTGTGTGTGTGTGTGTGTGTATAAATTGCTACTAACTGCTTTACTGAGGTCCTGAGGTAGTCGAGCCCACTGAGAGTTGAAGAATATGCAGTAATCTTTGCCTTTACTGTTCCCCCCATCGCTGAAATGTGCCATGCCATATTCACCTAAAACCTGTGAATCAGAACGGATACAGCTTAGGTTACTGGTTAACAGGTTTGTGCATAAGATTGCTGTGCAAAGAGGGAAACCTTGGAAAAGGGAGAGAAATGCATATATGTCTGTAGCAAATAGGTGCCATGAACTTGCATAAAGTTTTCTAAAACTTATAAAACCTCATAGAAAAAAAAAAGTGAATTATGTTTTCTAATCTATGCAAATGTTTGACTTTCATTTGCTACCTGTTTTTAGTTAAATAGTATTAGTTTCATTTAAACTTGCAGGACCACATCAGAAATTGTGTTGTTTTTTGTTTTAGTGTCACTGAGATTTATTATATTACACTATTTATTAAATGAATAATTTAAGTAGGGTTTAATGTGTGTGTGTGTGTGTACTGGTATATATGGTTTATGAGGACACAAATGTGTATAATGACATGGTTACTACAACGTAAACATGGTTTATGAGGCCACTTCCTGTGTCCCTGTAAAATAAAAGCCTTAAAAACATACAAAACGGTGTTTTATGAAATTCAAAAATTGCCAGTAGTTTTCTGTAAGGGGTAGGTTTAGGTGTAGGGCGATAGAAATAAGTTTGTACAGTATAAAAACCATTACGCCTATGGAGAGTCCCTGTAAACCACAAATGCAAGTGTGTGTGCCATTACATGTTCTTATAGCATGTAAATATATCTCATAATAACAGCTCACTGTCACCCACACAAACACATCATCAGGTTAATATATGACATTAGAATAATTAAATAAACATGAACCAAACAACATAAAATGCAATATAATACTCCAATGTGAAAATAATACATTACATTATCTAAACAAATATTGTTTCCGAAAAAAGGCAGTAATTTGAAAAATGTATACGTATTGCCTTATTATTTTTCAGGAATTTCATACTTCTTACTAAATATAAATATAATTTGGTAAGGTATATATTAAAGTAACGTAAACGAAAGGGTTTTTACTTATGTTTACATTGTTCTTCCGTTAAAATTACTGACATTATCTGTGTACGGTATCACTGCTTGCAAAATAAATAATCAACTGAAAATAAAGGTTTATCATTAATGGTGATCCAGCAAAATGACAGTTTGTCGCTCGTTTGATCAGTGTTTTGTATTTGTTTTGCTGTAATAGTGTCATGTCGAGAGGACTCGGCCGCGCGGCCCCCAAACATGCACGAGCACATCCTACTGAAGTCCACCGCAAGCTAATCGTACGTAGCATGTAGCTAGTAATCATCGGCAAAAAAATAAATAAAACAAATTGGGTAACGTTACAGACCAGTTGAGGAGCCCACCAAAAAGAATACGGATTCTTTAGTGTTTTCTTACGTCTTACCTGTTCGATCAAAAGAGCTGCCCAAAGGAGACTTGACAAAAATCGCATGATGCCTGATTGTTGTTGTCTCCCCCATCCGCACTGCCCTCCTCCGACTCAACTATCAGCTGTTTACGCTTATCCCGCCCACGTTCTGCAGTACGTTGCCGATTGGCCAACTTCGTCCGCTTCCGAACGTCCACTCTTGGCCTATTGGCTTTCGCTCTAATCAATTATATTTTAGCCACGCCTCCACTTCTTAACATCCAAATTTGTCATTTCTTAGTGACATCATATTTTACGGCCAGTTTTGCAAAACCCTTAGGCCTAAATAATTTAAGTCCTTTGTTGTTTTTTCCTTTGATTATTGATTTTTTTCAGTCTCTGGCTTTCTCACACAGAACAACCCCTCTTGGACAACATCCAGTCTGGTTTCAGAAGTGGACATTCAACCGAGACTGCCTTGCTCTCAGTTGTTGAAGCACTAAGACTGGCAAGAGCGGCTTCCAAATCTTAAATACTTGTCTTGCTGGATCTGTCCACTGCTTTTGACACGGTTAACCACCAGATCCTCCTGTCAACCCTAGACCACATTGCTGAAACTGCCCGGTCCTGCAGATTTGCTTTACTGGCTATCTGCTTTGTTTTCTAACTGCTTTGTTTTCTTTAAAAAAAGGCCTCTAACACTAGCTTTCTCTATACTTTTCTATTCTATTTGTTTTCTTTTTATTTATTATATAATTTAAAAAAACCTTGCTATGTGCAAATGTGTTAGGCTAACTGAGACTTTTCATAGCACTTGCATATTTTTGCTCATTTGTTGATTTTGATTGCTTCCATTGTCCTCATTTGTAAGTCGCTTTGGATAAAAGCGTCTGCTACATGACTAAATGTAAATGTAAATATATATTTTTTTCTAACTACTTCATTGCATCTTGTCCTTTGTTTTTGTTCTATGTTTTTGTTGTTTTCTTTTCTTTTAATAATCTACATGCTTACATTATCATATTTTATTGTATTGTTATAATTCAAAGTTTCTTCTAATGTTATTTTGAAGAGAATAAATAAATAAATAAACTACAATTATTACAAAAGAATCAAGTGATTTTATAGAATATGAGCATCATCTTTTTCCACTGACAGACATTATCTGAACATTGTCACATGACAGAAGATGGTTTTAAAGGTGACACTGGCCACATATTATTGACTGTCTGTTTTCCACTTTTCAAAGGTTGCCAAAAGTCAGGAGTCCTCAGTTTGTATTAGAATGAAATGTGTTTAGATATATTATTTTATATATAATATTTGGATATTCTGATTTGTCATTTTGTCAGACCAAATGCATTGTCCCAAATAGGTACAGGTATTTCTTCTTTTGAAAACAAAAGACGATATTTTGAAGAATGTTTGTAAGAATACAGTTGGCACTAGCTAGCCATTTACTTCCATGGTAGAAAAGAATAATACTATGGAAGTCAATGGCTACTGTCAACTGTTTGGTTACCAACATTCTTCAAAATATTTTGAGTTCAACAGAAGAAATGAACTCATGCAGGGTTGGAACAACTTGAGGTGAGTAAATGATGAGAGAATTGTCATTTTTGGGTGAACTATCCCTTTAAGACCATTTATAGTAAACATCTAGTCGTGAATAGGCACAAAGAAATAGCTACCTTAATGCTGATCTATATAAATGCTCACAAATCCTGCATACATACAGTTAATGTCAGAGATGTCCCAGACAAATTATGGTTAACAATGTATTTTGAGTGTGTTTTAGCCTAACTGCAGATTTAACGTGTCTTCAGTGTGCAGAACTTGCCTAACTTTGCTGAATACATTTTCCATGAGATCAACACGACTTTTGTGGTTTTTCAACAAACGAATGAGATGTTGTAGCTATTTTTTCTTAACACAGTATGATAAACATCTGAAATGTGAGCTGAAAATGCTTTATATGATTACGTCTGGAATAAATGACACAATTACAGACTCACATATCACAATAATATGTATGCACAGAACGTCTTCGGTTCGCCTGACATCAACATGCAGTAACAGATTATGTACGTGAGGCATAGCTGAACTTCATTTAATACACCTGCTCAGTAAATAATGAGGATTATTTGACACTGGCAATGAGGTTAAAATCGGTCCCTACTCCCTAGCACTGTGGATGTCTCTCTTGTGTAACACTGATTGACAACAAAAAGTATTTCTTTATTTATTTTTGTTTCTTTATTATTAGATTTTCCAGGCAAACTCATTCTTTCATTCATTAACACCTTTTTATATGTGTTATGAGTCTGTTGTGGTAACACTGACAAAGGAACAGTGCAAAACAAGCCCATACAAGTAGTTTTTAACTTAGATCAATGCTAACACCTGGCAGACGCTTAATAACAGGTACACGCAAATTGACATCATCCTGCGGTGGCGTCTCGATGATGTCACTGAAAAAGCCACGCCTCTCCAGAACGCAGCAACCGGAAAATACCCATTGACTGAGGAATGCGGCGACGTTAAGGTATGTAACAAACTCTCAGCGTTTACTTATCATAGATAGCGTTTTTATAGATAACATCATTAATAGCACATAAGAGAAAATCTTATATATTTATTCCGTAATGTGTTTTGTGTGTAACTTACGTAGCTTGCCGGTGTTCGTTGGCCATTTCTTTTACAAGTTAGCCAGATGGCTACCTGGAAATAGTCAGTGCTTTGGTAGATATTTTGTGTATTATCGTAATATGATTATTTCGTATTTCTCTTACGAACCTATTGGCCACATTTCAGCTTATTTTTGGCTGTGAAACAGTACCTCTGAGCTAAAATAAATGCTTGTTATTGTAGTTATCTTTACTCATTAAGGTTCGAAACACGACTTAAAGCATAGCTTTTGAGATGCATTTTTAGTGTAAGTTTGTACTGCACTGCAGTGGTAAGATAGCTGTTAAACGTCTGTAATACAGAAACAAAAGAAGGTTACAAAAAATCTGGCAACCCTGCTTAATGACTGCAGGTAATGACGTAAGTAGGAATAGAATGCCCACATTCTGCACATGGAACTTCTCATTCCCATGTCAGTTTAAAATCCAACTTCCTGTGAGGTCAAGAGTAAATACCAAAACATGTGCACTCTAGAAACCATTTATAGTCATTGTCAACAAAGTGTCAAAATCTTTAGTGGACTGAAGACAAGGTCAAAACCGTGAAACTAAACTATAGACCTTATTTCTGGTCATTTTCTAACAGATTGATTCATTTGAAGTCAGCAAATCATGGCTGGCTTCAGGCAGGAGGATGTGGAGCTATACTATGAAATGGGAGAGGAGTTAGGAAGGTAAGAGATGTCATTTCCCTCCTTAAAACTCTGTAAAAACGAATTTAACCTGATTTAAAGTGATCTCACATATAGTGAATAAAACAAAGATTAAGATTTGAATTAGCCTACTATCTTTTTAATGTTTGATTAAGCACTATAATTATGTAGTTTTGAAAGCTCTAAAAGGTAAGTGAATACATCATAGTGTTTGGCCTAGAGTTGCCAAGGGAATGGAGTGTTTGTGCTTATCAGTGCGGTGTAACAACAAACATTATGAGAGTCCTGCAATTTAAAAATCCCCAGCACAGTGACTTAATCATCTGCAAACACAAGCCTGGCCTTTTTTCTATATATGGACGTGGAGATTTCTGTGCTGTGCTGCTGCAGCATGACATCACTGCTTTACAATGCATATGCTCGCTCTCTGAGCCTGAGAACAGCTGTAGTGCAAACGAGACTACTGAAAAGATGGGCCAGAGAGGAGCCATCAGGGGAATATGTCAACCACACATTTTATCTGATTTTTTAAGAGTTTCCTTGGTTGCATTATGCAGCATTTATACCATTTACCTAAACGAGTACTCTCGAACTCCTTTAGAATGTTACTAGAGCTTGGTTTTGTGGAACGTACAGTATGTTCTTCTGTTCATATATGTAGTGTTTTTTGTGCCTATTCCATATCCTTATTTTCTATATGCAATGACATGATTTCTTCTTTTTCATTTCTGTTTTCTCTGTGTATCATTGTACCCTGTTTCCCAGTGGGCAGTTTGCTATTGTGCGTAAATGTAAAGAAAAGAGCACCGGAACAGAATATGCCGCCAAGTTTATCAAGAAGAGACGGCTGTCATCCAGCCGACGAGGTGTGAGCCGAGAGGAGATCGAGCGAGAGGTGAACATCCTTCGAGAGATCCAGCACAGCAACATCATCACCCTCCATGACATCTTTGAGAACAAAACCGACGTGATCCTGATTCTGGAGCTGGTGTCTGGAGGGGAGCTGTTTGACTTCCTGGCTGAGAAGGAGTCACTGACTGAGGAGGAGGCCACACAGTTCCTCAAGCAGATCCTGGACGGAGTTCACTACCTCCACTCGAAACGCATAGCACACTTTGACTTGAAGGTGAGCACTAGGATGATTTGTTTTAAAAGAATAGTTCACCCAAAAATGCCATCCAATGTGTAGTTACGTCATCGCAACAGATTTGGAGAAATTTCACTTGCTCACCAGCGGATCCTCTGCAGTGAATGGGTGCAGTCATAATGAGAGTTCAGACAGCTCCACAAGTAATCCACAGTCCATCAGTTAATATCTTGGGAAGTGAAAAGCTACATGTTTGTAATAAATCCATCAATAAGGTATTTTTAACTTCAAACCTTTGCTTCCGGCTAATATACATAATCCATAATAATGCTTCCTTCAGTGAAAAAGCTTCATTCACCTCAGAGGATCCATTAGTGAGTAAGCGATGTAATGCTACATTTCTCCAAATCTGTTCCGATGAGGAAACAAACTCCTCTACATCTTGGATGGCTTGAGGGTGAGTACATTTTTAGTTTTTTTATTTTTGTGTGAAATAGGTTTGCTATTTATTCATGTAGATGCAGTTCTCAAGTTATTTTTGGGGGAGCATGGAAACATGTACTACAAACATCTTGAATCACTTTGTTTTCAGCCTGAGAACATAATGCTGCTGGACAAAAATGTGCCGAACCCCAGAATCAAGCTGATAGATTTTGGAATTGCTCATCAGATTAAAGATGGAAATGAATTTAAAAACATCTTTGGAACCCCTGAGTTTGTTGGTGAGAACCTGAGATTATTATAAAACTTAATAATTTTTATCCTTATTTATGATAACTTAATTGGGTGTCCTTAATCTTTGTCATAACTTTTAACCTTTGTAGCACCGGAAATTGTGAATTATGAGCCTCTTGGCCTGGAGGCAGATATGTGGTGAGTCTTAGCTATCAATGATATTTTTAAAATATTGGTTAGATTGTTAATAAATGATATTCAGTTTCAGTTGTTTATTTTTGCTCATAATTAATTCTCTTGTGATTGTCTTTCCCGCAGGAGCATCGGAGTTATCACATATATACTGTAAGTTGTAATGTCACATAAATGACTTGTTTGGCTGTATTGATTGCATGCATTTTCCACACCCAGATGATGCTGCTTTACTTTGCTTGACTAATATTAATGCATTATTAATTGTCTGTAGCTTGAGTGGTGCTTCTCCGTTTCTTGGCGAGACCAAACAAGAAACACTTACCAACATTTCAGCTGTCAACTATGACTTTGATGAAGAGTACTTCAGCAACACAAGTGAGCTCGCCAAGGACTTCATTCGCCGACTGCTGGTCAAGGATCCAAAGTTAGTCAAATCCAGTGTTGTAACTAAAGCTATTAAAAATTATGTAATAAAAATAAAGTGTAAGCATTAGATTTGTGACCCTGGACCACAAAACCAGTCATAAGGGTTTTTTTTTATTTTTATTGAGATTTATTCATCACCTGAAAGCTGAATAAATAAGCTTTCCATTGATGTATGGTTTGTTAGGATTGGACTATATTTGGCCGAGATACAACTATTTAAAAATCTGGAATCTGATTGTGCAAAACAATCTAAATACTGAGAAAATCGCCTTTAAAGATGTCCAAATGAAGTTCTTAGCAACATTCCTGTTTATTTGCTTTTAACATTCAGGAAGAGAATGACAATCATGGACAGTCTCCAGCACCCCTGGATCAAGGTTCGAATGCTTCTCTTTTTCTCCCTCTTGAGTTTTGTCACCGTTTGAGCAGTGCTTGACTAGTTCCCATCCCATCCCCCCATACAGGTGATCAAGAGGCGTAACGTTCGACCTGAGGAGAGCGAGCGCAAGACCGATCGCAGGCGTCTGAAGACCACCCGACTGAAGGAGTACACCATCAAATCCCACTCCAGCATGCCTCCCAACAACACCTACATCAACTTCGAGCGCTTCTCGCAGGTCATGGAGGAGATCGCAGTGGCCGAGGATGGCCTGCGAGAGCTGGAGAAGAACCAGCGCTCCTGCGCTGAGGATGTGGCCGCTCTGCTCTCCATCTATGAGGAGAAAGAAAGCTGGTACAAAGAGGAGAACGAAAGCATCGCTGCAGATCTCAATCAGATCAAACAGGAGCTGCAGAGAGCACAAGCCCTGCGCAGACAGAGCCAGGAAGAGGCCCGCGCCACCATGCTGTCGGCCAATGCCCTCAAACGCAAGTTTGGCCGGTTGGAGAACCGCTATGAAGTGCTCGCTGAGCAGATGGTCTCCGAGGTGCGCTGGGTTGAAGAGCTGGTCCGCTCTATTTCAGCTGAAAATGACACTCGCAGCACTAGCATGGCTTGAGCTGCTCTGTTTGCTTTCTGAACGCAGTGACTATCTAATATCTTCGCTTGATAGAGTATTAAACTTTGCAATAAGCTTCATGTAAGCCTGTAGAGTTCATGTTACTCCTAGAACAAAAGCAATGCAAAATGGTATTTTCTATAAATGCTGAGTGAGGGTGTGCATGTGTTTCGCCTGTGCATTGCAGTATCCTTATGTGATGCCGGTCTGTTACAGCTGAAGCAAGCATTTAGTATGTTTAATCGTCACCTCAAAAATATACATGCTGGATCAGTAGATAAAAAACGAGTTTATTTACAACTCTATTACAGCACTCAGAGCAAAGCATATTAATGTACATTGTGAGTAATGCACTACACAGTCCTCTATGAGGAATTAAATAATCTCAAGATGCCAGTTGCTTTTATTGCTCTGCATGTCCGCTTTTCCTATGCAAATCGAATTCTAATTTTATGATATGAGACAAAGTAAATAACTTCTACACTTATGATAGTCCTAAATGCTGTTTTGAATGATCTGTACATATATCTAATACTCAGTAAGCTGCAAGCAAGCATTTAGTATTTTTAATCGTCACCTCAAAAATATACATGCTGGATCAGTAGATAAAAAATGAGTTTATTTACAACTCTATTACAGCACTCAGAGCAAAGCATATTAATGTACATTGTGAGTAATGCACTACACAGTCCTCTATGAGGAATTAAAGAATCTCAAGATGCCAGTCGCTTTTGTTGCTCTGCATGTCCGCTTTTCCTATGCAAATCGAATTTTAATTTTATGATATGAGACAAAGGAAACGACTTCTACACTTATGATAGTCTTAAATGCTGTCTTGAATGATCTGTACAAATATTGAATATTCAGTAAGCTGCTTCTGTATGTATGAATATGAGAATTTAAAGGGATAGTTCACCTAAAAACGAAAGTTTGGCCTTTACTCATTCTCATAACATTCCAAATCCATGTGACTTATTTTCTTTTGTGGAAAGCAAAAGAAGATATTTTTAAAATCTTTTTTTTTTTCTTTGCCATAGTATATTGAAACATTTGTGTTCCACAGAAAAAGAAAGTTCTGAGGTTTGGAACAACATGAGGGTGAGTAAATTATGATAGAATTTTTATTTTTTGGGTGAACTATTGCTTAAACACTTTTCTTTTGTTCAAAACACACACTCCAAACATTCCATTTTTTTTGTATGACATTCCATATGTGAGTGAGCATCAGTATCTCGAATTTTAATTTTATGATATGAGACAAAGGAAACGACTTCTACACTTATGATAGTCTTAAATGCTGTCTTGAATGATCTGTACACATATTGAATATTCAGTAAGCTGCTTCTGTATGTATGAATATGAGAATTTAAAGGCCTTTACTCATTCTCATAACATTCCAAATCCATGTGACTTATTTTCTTTTGTGGAAAGCAAAAGAAGATATTTTTAAAATCTTTTTTTTTTTCTTTGCCATAGTATATTGAAACATTTGTGTTCCACAGAAAAAGAAAGTTCTGAGGTTTGGAACAACATGAGGGTGAGTAAATTATGATAGAATTTTTATTTTTTGGGTGAACTATTGCTTAAACACTTTTCTTTTGTTCAAAACACACACTCCAAACATTCCATTTTTTTTGTATGACATTCCATATGTGAGTGAGCATCAGTATCTGGAAATGGTTGTGCTCATTTGTAAAGTCATAGCAATATTCATATCTGTTTGCTTACAGTACTGTACCTGTTGTTATGTTGTTTTATTTACGACAAGTTTATATATACATCAGAAAAGTCCATTCAAATAAAAGAATTGAAGAAGAATAGAGTTACAGTGTCTTTATTTGGTGTGTGTGGGCTAAGGAACGCACTGGTAGGTGAAGTATAGTGTTTTATAGCTCTGAGCATTTGTCAACCTCTTTATCAAATTTTTTCAACATGTCTAGAGATGTTAAAAGTCCCAGAGTTTTAATTAAACAAAAGATTTTTCCATCTCCATAGTAACATAATCGTGTTTTGCTACTCAGATAAACATGGATTTTTGGGGTCTTGTAAATGCAACTATTTACTTTGAAATTTCAAACCACAGGACATCTATGAATATTCTGAGAACTGTTAGCTTCCCATGAGATATGTTGACATAAATCAACAGTGCATGTCTCTGTTTGGCTCTGGTGACATGAACCTTCCGGTTTTTAGTTTTTTTTTTTAAATGTATGCTGTCATCAAAGGAATAATTAATATTTGTATAATTTTAAAATTAAAATGTTAATATTTTTTTGCCATCATGTAATTTAAAAATGTATGACTTGCTTTATATTTTAAATAATGTTTCAACTGTTTTTGTCCATACAATGAAACTCAATGGGGTCCAAAAAATATTGAATGATAACTGTTAATTTTGTATTTTAAAAAATCTTAATCCCACTATACTCATCTCATTACTGCATCATGGATTAATTATCACACTGATCCATACTTTATTCCAGTCGGTGGTGGTAATGCACCAGTCAGTTAGGTTGCCAACCGCCAATAAACACCAAAAAAGAAGAAGAAGAGGAAGAAATGCTGTTCAGCTGATGACGACCGAACGCTTCGTAAACAGACGAAAATCCATAAGATACTAATATTTCACATGAGCGACACATTTTATTTTAAAATTTATTTCGTTTTACACTTTTTAAAAAACAGCAGCAACTAAACCTTCTTCTGCAGATTCAGGGTAAGTTACTATAACACACGCTGCCTGACCGTGTTTACGTTGGATTTCCATGGAGCTGCTAATGCTAACACACAGCGCTCCTAGTCAACACACGTCTGACATTTTTTATATACTTACTTTGTGTTGCATTTTGAGCGTATATAACGTTGTATCCGTCATCATACGGATCTTATAAGGTTGATTTTTGCGAATGTTTTTAGCTAAGTTAAAGCACTTGGGTTATGCCAGTTCCAGTATCTCAGCAAACCCAAGTATTTACAGAAAATATCAGCGGCTTTATAAACTGAATTTCTCTGTATGTTCATTGTTAAGTTTAGTATAATCTGTGATGCAGTTGCTGGAACCTTCTTATAGTTTATTTGATATATATAATATAGTCTAATGCACACATACATTAATTAAAGTATGTGCAATAACCCAACCCTCTACGGACACCTTGTCAATTAAATCGCCATTGGCTAGTATATTTTTTAGTTTACTCGCCAGACTGAAATACTATACTATATATATATATATATATATATATAAGTTTTATGCCATTTTACAAACATATATAATGTTTGTAAAATGGTACAGCTCGCATATGCGAGTGATTTACTCGCAATGTAGAGGGTTGTAACCTTATAAGTTACATATTTATCACCCTAAATCCTAGTACATCCCTACAACTTTATTTTTTTCTATTCCTATTCTATCTATAGCACACCTGTACATACAATTTATTCTTTTTTTGTGGTTTATATTTATGCATGTGTATTTTATTCACATCTTATTTTTATTATCTGTGTGTTGTTGTTGTCTCCGTGTACTGGAAGCTTGTGACACTATAACAAATTCCTTGTATGTGCAAACATACTTGGCTATAAAGCTCTTTCTGATTCTGATTCTGATTTAACGTCATGCGTTTTATATCTTTACAGTAAATGCTCTTAGTTTATCAGCTTTATTGTCAGGTTCTTGGTTGCTGTGTGAATTAGTACCCTTGTAAAACTTATGGCAAGTTGCATATGGTTACAAGTTACAATGAAGTAATAGACCTCACTGTGGGTTTCTTTGCAGCTCAGCATAATGAGACCAAACTTGGTTGTGCCAATGTTTTGAGGCCTCTATGGTTGCAGGAATGAGCTTTTCTCACCGTCGAAGGAATCCGCACAGGACCCGTCGCACCATTTTGGAAGTTCCTTCAGAACTTAACAAACCTGTTTCAGGTGACAAAGCTTCCATCTTGCATAGTAAAGAAACCACAGTGTCTCAAGAGCTGAATTCTGCAGAATCACATGGACTGAAAACAACCAAGAAGGAGAAACCTCAAGCAACAAACCAAAATGCTCTTCCTGACTTGTCAGCTTGTTTACAGAAATCAGCACATCAACTAAATGGACTGGTGTCTTCAAAGTCACATGAACTTGAGCCGATGGTGCCTGAAAAAATGACCACCCCCAAATGTCGATCAGAGACATCAAAAATGTCTCGTAAGGGAAGAAAAAAGAAAGTCATTCAACCCAGTGAGAAAGAAGTAGCTGCTAGCAAAGCTTGTTCCAATGGACTGGACCATTCTGAACACAATTATTGCCCAGAACAACACTTACGCTCTCAAAAAACAAAAGGGACACGTTATCGGCACTCTAAAAAAACTCAAAACAATCAGACCCCCTCTGATGTTTCTACAGGGCTTCACACATGTACTACATCTCCTCTTCATGACAAGGAGATCTCCTCCTGCCACACTAACGGTGGTTGTAGCTTTATACCACGCACCCCGAAACGGGGCAGGCCCCGGACCAGGCCTCTCTTCAGCTCCACACCGACCTCAGACTTCCAACCCCTATCTCCAAAAAGAGCTAAGAATAGTTGCACACAACATAGTCATCAGTCCAGTCGAGTAAAGGTTTGTGTGACAATCATTATTGCATTATTGCTTGCTAACTGTTGTATGAAATTTGTGGCTTAACTATTTTTCATGTGGTATTCCTGTTAGACGCCTCCTACAGACGTTACACCATCTAGACCTCAGAGGCTCGTGGCAGTAGGGAGGCCAAGAGGTCGCAAGAAAAAGAACGTGGAGGAACAGCTAATTGTCTCTCCATCAGTGAAACAATGCAGGAAGAGTGCTACATCTGATCTAGAATCTCCTCAGGAAGAGCCAGCTGTTGAGACGCCGCCTCCAAATGAAGCTCACATTAAAACCCAGATGCAAGAGCCACAGGAATCAGGTACATGGCATTTTTTGTCTTTATAAAAATGAAAATAATATAGTCTGGCATGTGCCTGGTATTTACACTTGATACATTTTATCACTTTTAAAAAAAAATTTGAATTAATTTTTTTTCCTGTATATTTTCTGTATGTCCGGTTTCATTTTATTTTTTCGGAGCAAAAAAATAAAAAATTAACCATGATTTACAGAAGACACCCTGTAATAAATAATAAAAAAGTAAAAAAAAATTTTTTTTAAATGTAAATTTTGTATCACTTTTTCTTTTATATGTTATAATAAGTACAGGTCAGAATAAGTATGTTGTCATTTTTACATAAATATATCTGTTATGCTGAATAATTTCTCACATATTTTGACATTTTGTTTCCCCACAAGTTAATTGAAGCATTAAAGTAGACACTTTACTTACATTTAATAAGCTTTGTATGTATGTAAAATCAGTTATGAATTTAATTTGATGTGGACACCAAATCTATTTCATTCTATTGGTAGTAATTGAGTTAAATATTTATTTAAATATCCAAAAAATTAATAATGATTATTCAGTTACATACATTTTATTAATCTAATAAAATAATTAAACATTCAATTACAAAACAAAAAACAAATTTATATGCAATGTTACAAATTCAACGTCATGACAAAAAGTTGTTATTGTCTTTATCATAAATATGCATAAATAAGGTAAGTTAATGTTAATAATTGTAAATGGAGCCTCAAATATGTGATGATGTTGTCTTTTGAAATCAGTCACTGTAATGTTATGTACTCATCAGATCAAAACATGTCCTCTGACCTCTCCATTGAGCCGAGTCTGCAAGAGAAGCCTCATCCTCTTAACAACTCTCTCTTCATGGAGGAGGAAGAGGACCTAGACGACGATGATGAGGAGCTGCCCAGCTTTTTGCAACAGGACAATAAAAGTGAGTGAGCAATAAAAAGAAGAAAAAAGTGTGTATATGTATCCAAAGAAACCACAGTGTCTCAAGAGCTGAATTCTGCAGAATCACATGGACTGAAAACAACCAAGAAGGAGAAACCTCAAGCAACAAACCAAAATGCTCTTCCTGACTTGTCAGCTTGTTTACAGAAATCAGCACATCAACTAAATGGACTGGTGTCTTCAAAGTCACATGAACTTGAGCCGATGGTGCCTAAAAAAATTACCACCCCCAAATGTCGATCAGAGACATCAAAAATGTCTCGTAAGGGAAGAAAAAAGAAAGTCATTCAACCCAGTGAGAAAGAAGTAGCTGCTAGCAAAGCTTGTTCCAATGGACTGGACCATTCTGAACACAATTATTGCCCAGAACAACACTTACGCTCTCAAAAAACAAAAGGGACACGTTATCGGCACTCTAAAAAAACTCAAAACAATCAGACCCCCTCTGATGTTTCTACAGGGCTTCACACATGTACTACATCTCCTCTTCATGACAAGGAGATCTCCTCCTGCCACACTAACGGTGGTTGTAGCTTTATACCACGCACCCCGAAACGGGGCAGGCCCCGGACCAGGCCTCTCTTCAGCTCCACACCGACCTCAGACTTCCAACCCCTATCTCCAAAAAGAGCTAAGAATAGTTGCACACAACATAGTCATCAGTCCAGTCGAGTAAAGGTTTGTGTGACAATCATTATTGCATTATTGCTTGCTAACTGTTGTATGAAATTTGTGGCTTAACTATTTTTCATGTGGTATTCCTGTTAGACGCCTCCTACAGACGTTACACCATCTAGACCTCAGAGGCTCGTGGCAGTAGGGAGGCCAAGAGGTCGCAAGAAAAAGAACGTGGAGGAACAGCTAATTGTCTCTCCATCAGTGAAACAATGCAGGAAGAGTGCTACATCTGATCTAGAATCTCCTCAGGAAGAGCCAGCTGTTGAGACGCCGCCTCCAAATGAAGCTCACATTAAAACCCAGATGCAAGAGCCACAGGAATCAGGTACATGGCATTTTTTGTCTTTATAAAAATGAAAATAATATAGTCTGGCATGTGCCTGGTATTTACACTTGATACATTTTATCACTTTTAAAAAAAAAATTGAATTAATTTTTTTCCCTGTATATTTTCTGTATGTCCGGTTTCATTTTATTTTTTCGGAGCAAAAAAATAAAAAATTAACCATGATTTACAGAAGACACCCTGTAATAAATAATAAAAAAGTAAAAAAAAATTTTTTTTAAATGTAAATTTTGTATCACTTTTTCTTTTATATGTTATAATAAGTACAGGTCAGAATAAGTATGTTGTCATTTTTACATAAATATATCTGTTATGCTGAATAATTTCTCACATATTTTGACATTTTGTTTCCCCACAAGTTAATTGAAGCATTAAAGTAGACACTTTACTTACATTTAATAAGCTTTGTATGTATGTAAAATCAGTTATGAATTTAATTTGATGTGGACACCAAATCTATTTCATTCTATTGGTAGTAATTGAGTTAAATATTTATTTAAATATCCAAAAAATTAATAATGATTATTCAGTTACATACATTTTATTAATCTAATAAAATAATTAAACATTCAATTACAAAACAAAAAACAAATTTATATGCAATGTTACAAATTCAACGTCATGACAAAAAGTTGTTATTGTCTTTATCATAAATATGCATAAATAAGGTAAGTTAATGTTAATAATTGTAAATGGAGCCTCAAATATGTGATGATGTTGTCTTTTGAAATCAGTCACTGTAATGTTATGTACTCATCAGATCAAAACATGTCCTCTGACCTCTCCATTGAGCCGAGTCTGCAAGAGAAGCCTCATCCTCTTAACAACTCTCTCTTCATGGAGGAGGAAGAGGACCTAGACGACGATGATGAGGAGCTGCCCAGCTTTTTGCAACAGGACAATAAAAGTGAGTGAGCAATAAAAAGAAGAAAAAAGTGTGTATATGTATCCAATATGTGCTTTGATATATTTGGTTTCCAGAGCCTTTGTCAATCTCAAAGGGACTTTGCGTGTGGTGCAAACTGAGGAAATATCCCTTCTGGCCTGCAGTGGTAAGTTAAGCTCACTGTGCACACTATGGATTTTGTGCAGTTTGTAACTCTTGAGTTTAGACTGTAGTTGATGACAAGTTGTTCATCCATGCCACAGGTTAAAAGTGTGAATCGCAAGAACAAAAAAGCCAGCATTGTATTTATTGATTGTTACCTAATTGACCAGAAGAGAATTAGAAAAGGGTAAGAATTTATCAGTATTTTAATATCACTTATTTTTATTGTGTATATGTGTGTGTATTTATAGTAAATCACATAATAAATTTGACGTCTTAACAACCCTTTTTTATCTGTAGGTTTTCTGTTTCCCTGCGAACCTTAAAACCTTTTGATTGTGAAGAATGTGAACATTTGGTGGTAAAGTGACATCTCTTTGACTTCTTACCACATTATTTTGCTTTTTCAGTGTGCATGCTCACTGTTTAAATTTTTCTGCCATTAGTCAACATTTGCTATACTGAGCATACTTCAAGACAATTTTTAAAGAAATGGTTTATTTGTTTTATGTATCCTATCCATTTTAGGACATTGCAAAAGAGAAGTATGACAATGCTATTACCTGGTCTCTGGAACTGATATCAGACTATAGGATCCGCATTGGTATTTATCTATCAGTGTTTTTTTGTTAGTTTTTTTCTTTTAGAACATTTAAACATTTTAGTAAATTAGAAATAATAGTCACCTTTTCAAACAGCAATTTATTTACAAAAACTGTTTTCTGAAAAGCTGAAATTCAGATGTTTTCTGGCAGGATGTGGATCCTTCTCTGGCTCCTTCATCGAATTCTGTGCTGCTGACATCAGTAGGTTTCCTTTCATTATAGATTTTCATACACATCTGACCAATAGCATGTTAGGGGTGCTAATTAATTACTTGTTAAAATGTAAGATTTAAGGCACTTTACTGTCTAATTCTGCACAAATAAAAAATATAAAAACTATAACATATTATAGGTGGTTAATGTATTAATCAATAAAATAGTAATAATAATTCATTTAAGTTCCTGTGAGTAACAGTAATAAATTAATGTTAAAATTTTTTAAAAACATTTCCAATACTTACATTTTTAAGATTAAATAGTGCATGAAGATGGTATTTGTAGTACTCCATGTTTTATGGTACTTTAACAATCGGTTAATTGATTGTTAATTTTAATGATAGCTGACTATGAAAATTTACAATCAATCAATGTCCCTACTCAACGTAAACCAGTTTATAATCTCATTATGAATCAAGTAATTTTCATTCACCAGTGCTGGTTTAACAGAAATGGTCCCTTGATCTGATGATCCCAGGTTGTCCAGTGCGGAGGAAGTACTCCGAGGGGAAATCTGTGCTCACCTTTCCCAGTCAGGAGATTCTGGGCGAGCAGTGTGACAGCTCTGATAATAACGCGGAGGACATCGTCGTGGAAGAGCAAGATGAGCTTCACTCCAAGAAAGTGCTGCCCGACCGATCCAAGGCTGCACGCAACCGCGCCAACGAGCAGTTGGTTGACTTCATCATCAGACGAAAAGTCGAAAACCGCTTATTGGTACAAATTCGACTGATATACTCATACATGTATTTAGAATTCCAGTATTTTTCAAATTTGATACGTTCATTCCATTAAGACAGACAGCTAACTCTTCTGTCTGGTGCTCACAGGCAGTCATTAGCGGTCGTGAGTCCTCTAAATGGATGCAAGCCCTCCAGAAGCCTTCTTGTCAAGTGGTTGGTGTCTACCTGGAAGATGAGGAGCAGGTTGATAAGGTTTACCACTACCTGAACAAAGTCTGTGATAGTGCTCCTCAAATAAACACCTGTCTAGAAAACATCCAGGCCGACCGGATCCGCCTTATTTTTGATGTGCTTCTGCCTGAGGTAATCACATTCATTTACACTACCATTTGGACTTGATAAGGTTTAATGTTTTTGAAAAATGTCTCTTATGCTCACGAAGGCTGCAGTTATTTGATCAAAAGTGCAGTAGAAACAGTAATACTGTGAAATATTATTACAGTGTAAAATAACTGTACTATTTTCTGTATTTTAAAATGTAATGTATTCCTGTGATGGCAAATCTGAATTTTCAGCATCATTACTCGTCTTCAGTGTCACATGATCTTTCAGAAACCATTCAAATATGCTGATTCAGTGCTCAGTTAACTATTATTATCACTGCTGAAAATAGATAAGCTGCTTAATTTTTTGTGGAAACCATGATATTTTTTGATCAATAGAAAGTTCAAATAACACCAACTATTTGAAATAAAAATCCTTTGTAATAGACTTTACTGTCACTTCTGATCAATTTAATTCATCCTTGCTAAATAGAAGTAGAAATATTATTATTTTAAAATCCTACAGACTCCAAACTTTTGTGTCTAATACTTCCAAACAACCACTTGTTTCAGTGACAGTTTTGCTTTTTAGGCCATAATCTATGCCATCGCTGGAGTCCACAAGCTTTCCCTGGAGAAGGCAGAGGAGAAATATCACAGAGGGCCGTGCTTTAGTAACAGGTAGAGTACTTGTGAACTCACTTGCCCTGAAAAAATTAATCTTGCATCTGTGTAACTTACAGCTGTTTTTATTTCATTGTGATTTAGAGAAAGACAGGAGTTTGACATGATGATTGAACAGCAGATGAAGCTCAAGGAAATCACCCAGCATCATAGGCAGTGACGGCCCCTCTATTTAAAAAAATAAATGAACTTTTATGAATTCTGTTCATATTTTTATGAATAGGAATGTTTTCTTCAATATATTTTCTTTCTAATCATAGTATATTAGAACATTAATTGAATGATGGTTGAATTGAATGAGTGTTCATGGCAAAAAAGATTTTGCTGTTGATTGTAAATTAATCTGATATTAAATGTTTATTATCAAATCTCTGAGACTTTATGAGCTGAATGGTGTATCTATGATGCTAAAGTCAGCAAAATATGGTGCTTTTAATGTGTGCAGTGTATAAGTAAATGCCTTGTGCTAATACATAAATACATAATTTAAAAATAATGTAATATTTCTCAGATTAACTAAAACCCATGTGGTTGCTACTTGTTTTGAAAATGTGTGTCCTTGGGTGTTTGTAACTGTAACTGAACCCTGTCAAGCTGCATTTACAATCCACACGGCTGATGTCTCTAAAAAGTGTTGCCATTTTTAGCCACCTCACATTTCACAGTAATTTTCTGTGCGTAGCTTTTTCTACACCGATATACGTAAAGATGCCAAAGTTGTTGCATTTTACTGCAACTGAATTCTGGTCTAATGTACATAAAAATTGTATTCAGGACTTTGCAATTGATGTTTATCAATAAATCTTTATTTTTCAACACATTATATACTCTGTATGTTATATATGTTTTGTAAACATTTACATCATTTGAAAAGCGTTTCTTTATATTTAAACAGTGTTGTGTACATTTTTATTTTTTTTAATACTTGGTACATTGTGTGCCAACTTCCACAACCTGTGTCTGCTCAGCTACATCATCTCTCATTCTTCATAATCTGCCTTTCCAGTTGGTCTGTTTACTATAAATGTAATATAGAAGATCAGAACTTAGTTTTAGATATTATAAAACTTGTCACTGAATGGAATGAAATCCAAGATAAGTCCACCATGAAACTTTGACGTATATGAAGAAGGTCCCCACGAGTGTGTACAGTATTTGTAGAATGGCCACACGCTGAAATCATGGCACTTTAGAGAAACCTGACTCTTGAATACTGTGTGACCCACATACTGAGAGTGGAAAGATGTCTAATGTTCTTTGAGAGCACTGATCTGTGCACAGATTTTGAGCGCAGGGCCCAGTTTAATGTTCATAGCGCTCATGAGATGGTCCTCCTTAAGCAGCAACAAGGCCTGTCCGTCAATCTCCTGTGACCGGAACTCTGCAGCAATATCATGGCACCCTTAGAGCAAGTGGAGGAGATGCAAAGATTAGCATATGATTCTAAAGATCATATAGAAATCTATTTATTAGCAATTTATTCCTGTGGTTCAAAGCTGAATTTAGCTGTGCAGCTACCTGGTAAAGAGCTGATGAAGGAGCACACTTGCTCCACGTTCCATTGTGAGGGACTTGAGTCAAGAAGACAGTCAGAGCCGCTGCTGCTCTCCACTCTGCTCTGTTCTCTTTCTCTGTCTTGCTCCTTCTCTCTTTCGGCCTGCAAGCGCAGTCTTGTCGTCATCGGGCCTGGTGGATCTTCCTCCTCTTCTCTCTCTATCCAAATTGAATTGGAGGCCCTCTGGTTGTCGTTGGTACGATGGGAGTCTTGCAGCTGCTAAGGAAATAAAGTGGTACAGTAGGTCACTCTCACTTATTAATTATGCTATTGCATTGGATTGTATATTTTGGTTAAATGGTCATTTGGTTATTTCACTGACCTGCCTGAGGAAGTGTTCCCTGGACCCGCCGTTTATGCGACTAGGTGGTCTCCCCCGCTTGCCCATGGGCCTGTGGGGCCAGCGGCCAACTTTTTCTGACCTGAACAGGTTAAGGCGCTTTTTACAGCTTACATTGAATCTGTAAGATGAGAGATGAACAAGGATGTGTGTGCTGCAGTATACAGTTTTATGAACACAAACTTGCTAAATTCTGTTTAGGTAAAACTAAGTTTACATCAAATCGGACTGGCAAAAAGGCAAATATCTTAAATGTGTTTTCCTCATTATATGCATACATTCTTACAGACATGAGAGTATATGAACTTCTGTTCAACAGTTTGGGGTTAGTAAGACAAAATTCATTTGTTTTTATTCAGCAAGTATGCATTTAATTGGTCAACAGTGACAGTAAAGACTTTTAAACTGTTACAAAAAATCAATTTCAAATAAATGCTGTTCTTTTGAACTTTCTATTTATCAAAGTATCCTTAAAAGAAATGCATCATGGTTTTCACAAAATAATATTAGGCAGCACAGCTGTTTTAAACAAGTTCAATACTGAGATTTAGAACAATCATTGAACCTAAAGTATGAGCAATAATAATCCTAAAAGTAATTATAATAATTCCACTGACACTACAAACTTCAAAAAGAGTGATTAACACTACCCATAGTGCTCTTTACCTTCTGATGCATGTCATGGAGCAGAAGCGTTTGGACCTGAGGAAGGTATGAGCGAAGCCTCTCATCCCACAGAACTCGCATTCGAGTACGTCAGGCACGTTTTCAGCTGTCTGTTCTGAAAAAAAAAAGAAATTCTGCAAGAAATGCTCATATTGACAGTGTGTTACTAAGAAATGTGCTAATGAGCCCACCATCCTCAGCGGGTGGGTTATCAAGGTCGGAATCGGTGGAGTTCTCCAGATGGTCCGCATCCATCAGGCAGTCATCCTGGGCTGATTCTCCGTTCTCGCTATCTTCTGGTAGTGTGGCCTGCAGGCTCATCTCTAAGGAAGTACGTCTTACCTGATATAAAAGGACCAGCACATCAATAGTGGACTTACCAGACATATTTTTTGAGATGCTTTTTGTGGTTTCGACTTCTGAAAGTATGGAGCACTTTGTGACGGGGACTTTAATAACTGGTTGATCTGAAAGTTTGGCCCCAGACCCTCACCGGGCCGTCTTACTCTCTGCTCTCAGGGAGTGAGGGATCTTTGAGCTTCACGGCAACACTAGAGAACCATGGGCTTCATTAGGGCCTCATGGCAGCTGTGAGTTGCTACGTTGTCAACCAGTGGACATACCGGGAACGGCTCCAGGCCCTCTCGGATGACGAAGCCCTCAATGAGGTGTGTGAGGATGTGAGGTCTAACGATGGCCTGTGAGGGCCGACCCTCAGGGCTCCCTGGAAGGCTGGCTGGGGGAAGCCTGCTGGTGCTTCTTACCGCAGAGGAGAGGAGGGGAGGGGGGGGACTGTTGGCATATGTGGGGTCCTCCAGTGACCGGATCCCAGATCTGCTCGATGGTTCGCTCGGTTGGTCCAGATCAGCTATGGTTAGAGTAGAAGTCAGGTTAGAGTTCTGCAGACCACTTTACTAGTCTTTAATATACAGTATATATGTAAGACACCTGTACAGTTTCCTGGTTGTGCTGTGACATCACCAGAGCTTCCCTGGGGCTCATCTGGTGGGGACAGTGATGGCGGGGTGGTGGCCGTTCTGTTCTGAGGACGCACACGTTCTACATCCTTCACCAAATCCATGCTTCCACTCCCCTTCAACAGCGGTGTTGCCTGCCAAATTTCATAATAAGCATAATGATTAAAATAGTATATTTAAATGAATAGTTCACCCAAAATATATTCTGTCATCATTTACTTATCCTCAGTGTTTTCCCAAAAACCTATATGATTTTCTTTCTTCTATGGGACACAATAGAATACAGTGTTAAGGTCTTTGCACACCGAGTCTGAAATTGTCGTCCAAAAATTCGGTGTGCAAGTACCTTAAATCTCATCAGCAAATTTTTTTTTGTCAGTGATAGTGAAGACAGGTGGATCATGATGATAATTAAATAAAGAATTCAAAAAGTTTTCACATGTTGTTTTTGTTAAAGGTTAATATGTTTAAACTGATTTAGAAACATTTTCATCAACTACAGTCAGATGGCATTTTAAGAGTAAAATGTACTAAAATTAATGAAAATTACATGAAAAAATATTGACTAGAAGGATATTTTCATCAGAAGTCAAAAGTTATGACTAAAAATCCTGTCTAAATAAAATGAATATGACATGATGAAATATTGATTATTTTGAAAGGACATTTAAAAGACAAAGACAAAAACTATGACTATTTACACTATTTTAACGGTGTAAAAACTCTTACTGGTTCTGAAGAATAAGAAGTTGCTCTTTTTCATTCAACTATTCACAACCATTTAAAAGTTTGGGGTTGGTAAAATTTTAAATGTTTTTGAAAGAAGTCTCTTCTGCTCACCAAGGCATTTATTTAATTGTAATAATTATACAAATATTATTACAATTTAAAGTAACTGTCCTATCCAAGTGTATTTTAAAATGTAATTTATTTCTGTGATAGCAAAGCTGAATTTTCCGCAGCCATTACTCTAGTCTTCAGTGTCACATGATCCTTCAGAAATCATTCTAATATGCTGATTTGGTGCTCAAGCAACATTATTATCAATGCTGAAGACAGTTTCAAGATTTTTTCATCAATAGAAAGTTCAAAAGACAAACATTTATTTGAAACAGAAGTCTTTTGTAACAATGTAAACATCTCTACTGCCACTTTTGATCAATATAATGCATCCTTGTTAAATAAAAGTATTAATTTCTTTAAAAAAAACTCATTCTTACGGATCCTAGTTATTTATGTACGCTAGTGTAGCTTCAAAGAAAACCCCAAAAAGCACAATAAACATCATAAATGTAATCTATACATGTCATATAGTATATTCTGAGTCTTCTGTAATCATATGATAGTTTTGTATGAGGAAAAGACTGAAATTTGTTGGTCACTAAAAAAAACTTTTGATTTCATTCATTCATGCCTGTCCACAATCAAGCGACTGGTCACGTTCAAATTTTCTTTTATGGAAAAGAGCAGTCTGGACACTCCTTACATAAAAATACCCCCTTTCCCTTCCACTGTAAAATAAAATAAGGTTTCAAACAAAATGATTGAGTAAATGATGACAGAATTGAATAGCTTTGAATAAGACTAACCGAGGGAGCTTCTGTTTGTGTGGCAGGTTGCACCTTTAGGTCCACTGCCACTGTCTGCGGTGGCGGCAGATTCTGAAAAGGCAACTGAACCACTGCTTCAGTGACTGGGAGCTCCTCTTCAGACACCAGCATGTGGTCAGACTGGACAGCTACGGTCTGGACTGAGCGGAGAGACAGTCTCTGTGGCTGGACCAGCCTGGGCAGAGCCATGGTGAGAGGAGGGGGGCTGGACAGAGGTGAATACTGGGAGACCGGCTCTAGCACCGGGCCCAGATGAAGCGGTGGAGGGTCAGGGAGCACTGCAGGGGGAGCTGTGGACGTAGACACCACTGCTGACTGATTGGCCGACTGATTTGAAGAGGAGGGCACTGAGAGGAACTCAGTGTGCTGTGATTGGACAGTGGCTGTCGTGGGAGTGGTACGGGTCTGCAGGGCGAGGGGTGGAGGAGAGCTGTCCTGCGGCGTGACACGCAGCGCAATGGGCTGGACCTGTCTGTGAGCGGTGGAGCTCTGCTGGATGAAGAGCTGGTGTGGTGCCACCATCTGGACGGATGGGCAATGCAGCTGGTGTCTG